ATGCTGAAATACCAAGACCAATTCCATATAGGAACAGTTTAGTGCTATAGATTATGCATAAATTATCTTTGTGCATCTTTCATTTCGTTGTATGCTGTAAGCGTTGGTGATGGCTAAACCAATAGGATTGTCTTTTATGTCTCATTGTTCCCTTCATTTAGGCACAAATCTGTTTTAAGGTGCACAGTACCACAAAATAAAAACTTACCTCAAATGCGTTAAACCTAATGTAACAAGCTGTTTTGAAAATATAAGGAGTAGAAAGCACAGACCTTTTATTTTAAGCTCCTTTTTGCTAGCCAAAGTTAGCATCCTAATGAAATAAACAACAAGCTAGCTAGAAATAGCATTAGCTGGCATCGCCCACGTTCATTAAAATATGGTTACGTCTTCATTAAACAAAAACAAACCATGCCACGTAGAATCAGCACCAGCAAAGGAGCTCAGCTTTGGAAGCTAATGTGCTGTTTATTACCTACAACCTCAACCACAGGCTTATCTACAGGCAGCATTAGCCAAGTTAACTTATGTCATAAAATAAGGACAACCTTAGTCCATTCTAATACTACTGTTAGATGGGCTGGACTGTGGGTTCAGTGATCCTTCCTCGTTGTTATGCTACTTCCTGAAAAATATAATTTTTCATTAAATAGAAATATTGCCCATTTTCAATTTGAACATCAAAAAAGTTGGGACTGGGCAACAAAAGGATGGAAAAGAACGTGGTACTAAAAAGAAACAGCTGGAGAAACATTTTGTAGTTAATTGGGTTAATTGGCAACAAGTCAGCAACATGACTGGGCATAGAAATAGCATCTTAGAGGGGCAGAACTTCTTAGATGAAAATATGAGCAGAGGTTGACAATCACCAAAAAACTGTATCTACAAATTGTAGAACAATTTTAGAGGAATGTTCCCGTGTAAAGTTGCAAAGAAATCATTCAGAGTACATAACGTCATCAAAGGTTTCTGGGAAGCACTGTGTGCAAAGGACAAGCCTGAATATCATTGCTGAATTTCTGAATGTCTTCACTGAATTTAAAAAAGTATGATTCTGTCATGGAAACCATTGCATGAGCTCATTCACTGTCTGTGAACGTATTCACTGTGCCCTCCACAAACATAGGTTAAAGCTGTCGTGCAAAGAAACATTTCCAGAAATGGATTGAGGCAAAGAGAAAAACTGTTCTCTGGTTAGGCAAATTTACATTCTTTTTGAAAAACATACGCCATGTCCTCCCAACTAAAGACAAGGGGGACCATATTATCAGTGCTCAGTTCAAAAGGGTTGCATTAGCCCTGTGGAATTAGCAGCTTTTACATCAAGAAAGGCCCCATCAGCATGATTACTGAGTGCAGGCTTTAGAGCAACACATGCTTCCATCCAGTCCAATTTATTTTCAAGATTGCCCTGCATATTTCAGCAAGACAATCTTGATGCACATACTGCAGCTATTACAATAGCACGGCCTTATAGTAGGAGAGTCTGGGTGCAGAACTCACCTGCACTTCAGATCTTTCAACTGAAAACATTTCAAGCATCATCAGAAAATATCTGTCCATCTTCTTCCACTTATCCGGGGGCCGGGTTGCGGGGTCAGCAGCCTAAGCATAGAAGCCCAGAACTCCCTTTCCCCAGCCTCCTCCTCCAACTTATCCGGGGGAACACCCAGGTGTTCCCAGGCCAGCCAAGAGATGTAATCTGTCCAGCGTGTCCTGGGTCTGCCCCAGGGCCTCCTCACAGTGGGACATGCCCCCAACACCTCACCCAGGAGGCATCTTTGGCAGACCCCTCACTTTCCGAGAGAAAAACGTACTGCTTTTAAAAGAAGACGGGATTTATCTTACAGCTCTAAACATGGCTCTAGCAAAACTTTTTTGAGGCTTGTTGCAGCCATCAAATTCAAAATGAGCTAATATTCTTCTTGTAATTATATGTTTTCTCTTTGTAAACCTTTGATATGTTTTTCATGCTGTATTGTGATTAAAATATAATTTCCTTGCATTTTGGCTTTAGTTACATTTTACATTTACAGGATATCAACCTTATTTAGGAATTGAGGTTCTAAGATACACAGTACATTCAATAAATGTACTTCTCATTTTATAATTACAGAAAGCCTTTAGAAAATTGTTCCTATTTAAACACAACTGTGTTCTTTAAATTTAGATAATAAAAGTTTAGATAATATGAGTATATGTATTCACACGATGAAACTGAAAGAGATGAGGTTACTTCTGTCACATTTCTTGGAGTAATAAAGCCGCTAACAGACACACGCCCACACGTCAGCTCACCTGCATTATTTGAAAGTCAATAAAAATGAGCAGCTTTGCTTGAAAATATCCCACGTTCCCACTTACAACCTGAGCCCAACTTGTCACACTTTCCAGCTGTTTATGCAGGCTACACACACATCTGCTGTCTTAACCTGTTCAACATGTTAACTCCAAACCCACATGTATCGAGTGTTATGATTTTTGTAACAACTGCTTGATTTGGAAGTGGTATTCGGTATGTTAAAAAGGAGGCGGTGGCAGCAGTTTATCAACACTGTAAGATGAGATGGAATGTGCTACTGTGCAATGACAGTCAGGAGACACAGCAGCAGCAGCTGATGGAAACTTTGTTGAGTGTGAGTTGACTTTCCCCACAACAATGTTCACACAAACACACTGTGGATTGTGACAGGTCATTGCTAAACCACATGAAAAAAAACACAGAAAAAAGTCTCACATCATGAAGTGTGTCAAGGGGGAAGTCTCTTTTTTATACCACAGTTTAAACTTTCACACACACTCAAAAAAAAAAATGTAATTTTTTAAGATAAAAAATTTAATTAAATAAATTCAACATTGGTTTCAGGCTTGTGATATTAAGTCCATGCATTAGCAATAGTGATGTGCAACCAAGCAGCTTAATGGAAGTAAAACATTTAATACTTCTACTTCAAAATAAAAGTAAGCACAAAGACAAACACATAACGCTGATACAGATTTTTTTAAAACATATAAGAATCCTAAAATAATATCAATAATCAGGAATTTCAGAATTACCCACTCATGTTCAACATTTTCCTACATGCACACACACCTAAACCTGACCTAATGTTTCCCATCTATCATCCAGAGTCCATCGTAAGCCCTGTTCAGCCTCTCTCCCAGGCCAATGAGCAGCGCGTCCTGCAACCAGTCCCAAGTCACCCACAGTCTTTCCACCAAACTGTACTGGCAGTAGCCCATGGCCAAGCCAAAGCCCACATCTGTCACATAGTGTCTTGCAAGCAGCAGTCGGGACAGGCTCAACAAAGCAGCCCACCCCACCACCAGGAGCCGCATGGAGTCTGTGTCCACCAGCTGGGCGAGGAAGAACCGGGCGCACATGGCCGCCCGTGAAGCGTGACCAGAGGGAAAGGAATAGCGCTCCACGAAGAAGGTGGAGAGGATCTCCGAACGGTTCTGGGCGGGCATGCGACGTCTGACCAGAGTCTTCACAAGTCTGACAAGCAGCAAATCCAAAATCAGAGCTGTGGGGAGGAAGGAGTAGTTTTTAAAGTTTAGGATGTAAATAACAACAAGATTGCATTAGATATTTATTAGTTTATAATAATAATTATTATTATTATTAAATATTAGTATTAGTATTACATTTTCCTTAAAATATATCATAAAAAGAACTAAATAGTTGAAAAGATGAGTAAAAAATGCAGCTGAAGTTGTTCAGTTGTTTATACATTTATTTAAAGCTTCAGTTAATTATAGATTTACACTGTAAAGACAAACAAAGGTTTTACTTTAGTGTGTTGAACTTAATTTGTACCAGCTTTGAAACACTTGTTTTCTCGCTTAAGTTAGCTGTACTTTCTGTCCCCATTCTGAGTTGCACGCAGTTGCTTAATTGAGCACTTGATGTTGCCAAATATGGGGCATTTCTGCAAAAGAAAAGCTTGTGGTAAAGATAATGTTTAGCTTCATAAGCTTTATCGGTGCTGTGATCATTATTATAGTTAGGCTGTGTTTCGACTAGCTTGTGAATTCATGATGTGGTTTCCTATGTTAGCTTGCCCCGGTAACTGAGACTGCCTTTTCAGGGTTTGATTACCAGTGTTACTGTAACCATGAAGTATGTAAATACTGTGGAAAAGTTGTCTTGAACTTATATCTAATATTTAATCATGGTGACTTTGTTTGAGTTTCTTCTTTAATTAGAAAAAATACTAGACTAAGGTTTTATATATTTTTTATGCTGAGAAACAGCCGACTGACATCGCTCCACACCTCGTGGCCTAAAGTCAAGAGTCCTCTGAGGAAAAGTAAAAAATTTTCTCTGCTTTCTTGAATAATTGTCCAGTTTTCAAATAATTTCAAGACATTTTTTTTTCCAAATGCTGCAGCTATTGATATTTTTTCAGTCTATTCTCACACCAAGGATACCTCTTCAGCCTAACATCCTCTAAAAAGAATCAGTCTGCTGCTGTGATCACAGTTTGTATTCTTGTTTCTTAATGCTTATCATAATCCTGAAAAAATATTCCTGGAATTTATTACATGATCATAATTGGAGTAAATGACCCTGCTCTCATTAATATTCCTGGCAGATTATTTAGATTTGTGAGCTAAATCTACATGATCGGCACTGTGTCCAACAAAAATGACTAATGATATTAAATTGGCTAAGTAATACTTTTACATCCCTTGCAATTGCTTTGGTGTCTCTAAATATCCTATCACATCATCCCATTTATCAAATTTCAAACTTTCCCACGTTTCCCTTGAAAAAGCTTCCTAACACAGGTTCTGAATCAGCAGCAAATACTCTACAAATACTTGATGGCCTCGCCCAAAGTTCAAAAGTACATTATCAAAGAGCTCAGCAGCTTTAGGAGCTAATAAATTACATTTCAACATCTTTGATAGTCCATGAGGGCTTTCAGATATTTAAAGAACTGAGATCTTGGTATTTCAAACATCTTCAGATGTTTTCAGTACATCATTATAGTAAAGGTCAAATTTTGCAGTGAACCATGGTTAGCAGCTTTAGTTAGCACTCTGCTAAACATTTTGAAGTAAAGTGGAATTTTATTTCAGTTGAATCAACCAGTAGTTCAGATTTTAAAGATGTTGAACTCTTAATGTAACACCTTGGGGAACTGAGCAAGGCTGAAGTAAAAGCATATAACCAGCTCAATTTATTGACCTAGAAAAAAAATCTAAAGGTCTCTAACCCCGTCAATACCTGATTGGTCTAACATTATATACTATCTCCAAATCTCCATGGCATCCTGGGCTTTTACAGGCCAGGAATAGCTCTGGCATTTCACCACAACACAATACAGTATAGCAGCACAGAGCTTGAACTCAAGGCTGCAAGTTCACAAATATAATCTACACGTGCAAAGACATCATCAGCCATGACCGGTGGATCACATCTCAGACAGCTCCCACAAAAAACTTTCCATCGCTGTCGTGCAGTTGTTTCTCGCTCAGACACCATTTACTCCTGCTAATGCACTAATTGGCACTAGTTGGACACATTTTGGTCTCTGGACATTAAGAGCTATTAACGTTATCTAGCTTTGACCAAACATAAGAGCCACTTATGAATACCACGGGTTCCACTGTGGCCATGGCACAAACGTGCATAATAACGCACCGGCTTATCGGCAATGTGGTGATAAATATGAAGCTGCGAGAGCGTCGGACAGCTAAATAAAGTCAGTTTGACTTTGGAGCACTTCTTACTTCCACATAAGGCCTCTATGCTCACCAGGTTAACGCTAAATGCCCAGAATCAATTAGTATAAATTAAAATCCTAGATTAAATCCTTTACATCAACCCACACATATTAATACATAAATATATTGTAAATTTATTGCAAATCTGTAAATATCGAGCCTGTTGATGGCTGTGGACTTAGAGATGTGTTATTTATTAAATCAGAACACATTTTTGTTTCATTAAAGGCAGAAATCCTAACATTAACTATGGTGTAATGATACTTACCCAATGCCAAATTCAGCATGATCTCTTGCTCCTCCACACTTCGTCCACGGAGAAGAGTGTACACGGTGCCGATGAGCCACGGGATGACATGACCGGAGAACTCGACCAGCCGGACCAAGGGCCGTATGCTGCCCCATGCAGACCCCTCACAGGCGCACACTCCGAGCCGTTTGGACAGCCATAGATCTATCGCCAGCAAAAACCGGAGCGTTACAGTAAATATCGGCTGACTCAGACTGACTGAAAAGTCTCCCGTTTGCGCTCCAGAGGCAAAGTAAGAACAGGTGGAGCTCCGGCGACGGACTTGGTATTCAAGAGTTGCCCGGCTTCCACACGCAGCTCCACGGCAACTATTCCGCCTGGACCCTGGTGAGGACATTTTGGTTGGACAGTGCCGTAGGTCGTGTATCCGCTCTCCTTTATGGCCCCTGATGAGCTCGTAACATCCTGCCCGGTTTACAGGGGATAAATGGTACCAGTTTAGAACGGGACCGCTCTTGTCACGTGACAAGGATGAATCCACAAACCGTGCTCGTTAAACGGGTCCGGTGTTGAGCTTTAGGCTTTTTCTTTAAACTTGGAAACCCAGCGAACACGTTATCACTTGTGAACCAGATAGCCCGCCTTGACTGTAAAGTTTGACTATTTTGTTAGTTGTGTCATAATAAACATTTCATAATAATAATAAATGTCTATATTCTCTTCACGACACCGGTCTGAGCGCAAAATGTGTCACAACTACGCCAAAGGCTCAGAGCGCAGCACTTTTTATGAACCTAAATTGGGTCTATGGTGTTGTGGCAGTGCGTGCGTGGTTTCCGCCTCTTCTTTATTTTGCTCTACCTGCTGTCACCAGAGCTACTGCACACCGGACTAAACACTTCCACGGCCACAGCATGCCGGGGCTGCTGCTCGGAGACGTGTTTCCTGATTTCGAGGCAGAGACCACCACCGGCACAATTAAACTCCACGAATTTCTTGGTGATTCGTGAGTAGACTTTGTGACTTTTAATTTTTTTACGCTGCAAGTTTACAGACTTATTGAGAATTCGCTTAAGAGCGGGTAGAGAGGGCGGGATGTAGTTCCTGTCATGGTTTTTCACTTCTGCTTTGAAATACTGCATGTGGCATTTTTAAAATCTGCATACTGTACCTGTAATGACGGTATTGTGGTCTAAGTGCGATCTAAGTGTGTCTAAAATAACACTTTACCACTTAGTGCATCTATCAGTAATCATCTCTTTGTGAGACAGTGAATGTCTTCTGATACTGAGAGCATCTGTAAGCTGAACGAATGAAATTGAGGTCAAACCTGAGGAAAAAAAACACTCCTTTGAGTGATTATGTGCAGACCGCTGACCTCAAGGTGGAGAAAAACAACTTTGCCATCACTTTTGACAACTTTGCTAAACTCGTTTTACATCCTGTTGTCCTTTTGTGAAACCCAGAAACAAGCAGTAACACACACAATATCAAGAAATGCAGACTGCGGAGAGGAAACTAGGTCAGGATGAGGCCTCTTTTTTTCTGAGATCGAACTGAGCATGATGGTAAATCTGACTCATTTCAGATGGGGAATCCTGTTCTCCCACCCCAGGGACTACACTCCTGTGTGCACCACAGAGCTGGGCCGAGCTGCCAGACTCAGCAGTGACTTCAGTAAACGCAACGTTAAATTGATCGCCCTATCAGTGGACTTCCTGGAGGATCACCACGGCTGGGCCAAGGTGTTGTAACTACATTTTATTTATTTATTTGCTGCACAACTTTAAGTATTTAGAAGTATTGGAAAAACACATAAAGAAAGCAGTAAGTCGGTGCTGGCTGGTGAACTGTGCTCTAAGCTTCCCAGCTGAGCATAATTCTTTAAACAA